AATACATTTTGAGTAACAGAAAAATCAAAATAATAAAAATAAATAAATCGTAATGTACATAAAATAACGAAACGCCTAGAAGAAATCGTAATACCGTTGTACAGTTTTATCAATAATTAGCATGAGTGTATTTTTAGTTGCAACTCAATTGCAATCATTATACTTTCTATGTTAAATATTTAAAGTAGTACACAATTTATTAATTTATTTATAGTATAAATAAGTACGATAATAATACTTTAGATACTGTGTGAAACGAAGAAGTCTATGGTTTTACAATATTTGTTTTTTTTTTTTTTTTTGTAGACAACTTTTCTACTGGTAATTTCACTCAGATTTTTATATACGGCACTTTTCTGGAAGGATATTTGACTAGGGCGGTACTTTAAGAAGGTTATATTTTCGATTTTTCAAGAAGTTTTCCCAATAAATGTAAAAAAATACGGGAAAATAGGTGCAATATTAAACAAATATTATTATTAAATAAAATGTTGAATGCATATGTAATTATTTTACCCCAATATGACATATGTATGTAATTATTTTACCACAATATGACATTTATATTTTTGGCAAAGCAATACTATAAATTGCACTCTGCTCAGAATCGTTTTTGCATTAGCAATAGTTAATCGTTACTTACAGATATACATTCAATTCCCGTCTATATCCTACATTCCTAACTTCTCATCTACAACAGTGACTGCACCCGTTCCCATTATCCTAGTACAGCTTTTTATTTTGGAAACTCGCGGATAGTGCGTGATACTGTACATATCTATACGCATTGGTATAGTAGAAGAAAATCTGAATTTTAAGAAAACATGTTGTCCAACCGTAATTGTTATACGATTTTTACAGATTAATTACTTCGATAATTGTATACCAACGTTATTTCAAACCTTTCTTAGGGTACACACACACACTTTACGGTCGCCCGCCGCGCGGCCAGCCGGCCGGCCTACCGCAGTGTACGGTCGGTTCAGCGTGTTACCGCGATGCGGCTAGCCGTTCTGCTGACCGCAGTGTACCGCAGCGTCAAGCTCCGGATATGAACAATTAAAATAAAATAATAAAACAACGACGGTCAGCCGCACATTGACCGCGCAGTGCGCATGCCGACCGTGCCGACCGGATGGCCGTCGAAGGGGCCGCAGCGCTCCGAGCGACCGGACCGGTCCGCGGGCAATCGCAACTTAGTGCGTATACGAAATTTTGATGTAGACGGCATCTGCGTAAAGTTCGTGGTTCGCGGTAGGCCGGACGGTCGCCATACAACCGTACGGCGCGTGTGTACCCTAGGTAGCGATTGCCCGCAAACCGGTCCGGTCGCTTGGAGCGCCTTCCTACGGTTGTCCGCACGGTCGGTACACGCGGTCGCGCGATCAGCGTGCGGGGCTGCCCGTCACCGTTTCATTATTTTACGTTAATATTTCATATCCGGTGCTTGAACCGTACACCGCGGTCAGCTGAACGGCTAGCCGCATCGCGGTAACCCGCCGAACCAACCGTGCACTACCGGCAGGCCGGCGACCGTGTAGTGCGTGTGTGCACGTATCGGTTGTAAAATTTCAATTTGAACCGATACTTTTGTATTTATTTCCCCGGTGTTTGCTATTGATGTTCGATATTTAAATACTCGAACGAATTACCGCCATCAGCACGTTCAATGTGTTCAATATAATATTCTATTATTCGAAGTCCACAGCCGATTGTATTGACGGTGTTGTGCCGTTATTAAAATGCGCTGCAATTCATAAATATTAAAATCATATAATATCGATCGGGTATTACGTTTGATGCATTGTGTCTGTGGAATGTTTGATGAATCATTAATAATTGTCAGCTAATATTATCGCTAAATAATTTTTAGCCGTCGTTCGGAATTCGGACGTCACTATAGTAATGTAATCATAAGTGTGGATTTTTTTTATGTATATTTTTGTGTTTATTATGAGTCAGGAGTAAAAATAAAACTACTTTATTTTTTAAATTTGTGACAAAACCACTGATTAATTATCAATTTACAAGCCCCACCCCCAAGTTGAATTTTAATATTTAAAATTAAAATTTTCTAAATTTAACACAAATTTTTACGGAAGAAGGATGACTTTTAAGCTTTGTAAACCTGTACATAACTCCAAGTTAAACTTGGGGGATGAAATTTTTTTTTATTCATTGCGTTAGTATCAAAGAAGTTTCTATTTGGGGTTTCAATTTTGAACTCTCATTTTAACCTATTTCTGATCACATTACAGTTTTTTTTTTTTAAGTAGGTACAGTACCTACTTATTTATAGTGTTGTATTTATTATTTGATTATGGTACCTATTCGGTTATTTATTGTTTCTCAAAGTACTAAAATATACAAATCAGTAAATATAAGAATAAGTAAAATTGATAACAAGATCAATTTTTAGCATATAAATAATAAAAAAGAGCTGATACTGAGGATGGGAGTGGCCACTGTTATAGGTAAGATGATGGGAAGGTAGGATACTTAAGGTTATTTCATTTAGGTGTGTACGCAAGGATAAACCATTGATAGACGAAAAACGATTACGAGCGCAGTTCAGTGATACATAATTTGAAATTTCGTAATTTTTTTTTTGCGATTTTAGTTTAAATTTAATTTCAAAACGCTTATTAAAAAAAAAAAGTTGTCCGATGATTTTAGAAATTTCACTACGTCTAGGTAAGTCAAATATAGGTATTATCACCAAGTGACAAGTCTCTATGTATATTTATAACCGAATCACAGTAAAAACCTCCCAAAAATAAAAATTCCTTAAAAGCTCAAAAGTTTTGGCGGTAATACCGTAAGAAAGTAAATCAAAAAGGCAACAAAATAGGCGACTTGTTTCGATAAAATTATTTTTAAAAATGAACTCTCTTCAATTTGAGCTTTCAGAAAAGTTGCTTTACCTCAAAATCCAAGTAAGTTTACCAGGAAAAAATGTATCCACAGTCTAGAACAAAGAAACAAAGAAAAAAATTATCATAGTAAAACCAATAGCTCCCTCGCTACGCTCGGAATCTAAATTCATGGCATTTCAAAACGCGTTTAATCGAATTTCCCTCTGAATTATTTTTCGACAGCAATGATTAATCGTTACAAATATAAACATATATAAATACAAATATAATTACAAATATAAATACTCTTCAATAAGGTATTTTCTCCTTTCAGTCATTCTTCTTTTGATGTCTATTAGTGAATTTGATTAATGGCATTTTACGATAACGTCATTGTAATTAGTTCGGTTTGCACCTATCCGGATTCTAAGAAAATTCGAATTTAAGATTCTGAGTGATGGTTTTATGAAAATGTTTTTATTCATTTTTTTTTTTTTGAGTACAGCTTTTCTACCAGTAATCTTGCTCCGATTTACAATGATAATACATTTGCTGAAAGAAAATAGGACTGGGAAGGTACTATAGGGAAATCATTTGTGCATTTTCCCAGAAGTTTTCTCAACAAATGGGAAAAGCCAGGAATAAATGTAAGAAAAACGAGAAACAATGAACAATATTAAACAAATATTATTAAATAAAATATATATTGTTTTATGTCTATGTAATTATTTTACCATAACATAACATGTATATTCTTGACAAAGTAACACTATCGACTAAACTCCACTCAAAATCGTGTTTTCATTAGCAATGGTTTATCGTAGCCTTTAGATATACATCAACTTTCTTCACTTTCCCAACTTCTTCAGTGTACAACGTCTTTTTAATTTCAAATCGTTTGCGTAGGTAGGTGGCGAGAAACGCTTTTCTTTCATTTTGTGTTTGTTAACGCATTTTTGACCTTCAATAAAAATACAGATGTATCAAATTCAAATCTATAATCTACAAAATGTATATAATTAGTATTTCATTTAGTAATTAGGTTGGTGTTTGAGTGCAATATCATTATTGATTATTGATATTATTAATATATTACGTCATTACGTGTACTTCATATCAAACCTCCAATACTTACACATTGATTTTCGAACAGTTTTTGTTTACTGGTGCATACACTTTTTAATTACCTAGGAACCTATCAGTAAGGTTAAATTACGTTAAGGAGTTTACGATATTTAAGTTTGTAATCTGATAGAAGATCTTTTATTAAACGGATATTTTTTATTTAATATTTTAGGATGTAATCTTTAAAATTCTTTTTAAATTTTTCACTAAACTTTGACCTGTTCCTATGATCGCTAATCTATCAACTGATTTTTCAGATACATTTTTTTTATAATTCGGTATCTCAATGAATGAATATAAAATCAACATTCAAATTGTTAAATGATTCTGTTATTTGTTTATTATATGATTCGCGATAGAAGCTTTAGAATTAAAATCTACATTTTTTTTTGTAAATAAACGACAAGGCAATAATAATGATACTATACAAGTTTTTATAAAATAAAAACTTAAATGAAGGTATATACGATAAAATGTGAAAATTTACGTTTTTTCATAAAACTTTGAGCTTAAGTAGCTTTATGATATTATGTTCGATCGATCTCAAACTTTGTATAGATGCAACTTCTCGGCAGGCAATCTTTAAAACACATTTTATGGAAATAACGTAGGGAAATTGAATTATTTTAAATTTTATTTTCTTGTTGTAAATCATTTCAAAATGTGGAGACTTGAAATTTTGATAGAAAACTTAAATTCGTCTTTCTTAGACGTAGTAAAATTTTCGTGTTTGAGTGTTTTCTGAAATATTTATAGATATTTTAATTTTGGGAGTTTTTATATAATTTTAATTTTGTAAGAACTACTATGCCGGTAAAATTGTTAGACCAAACAGAAATTCCATGAAGAGTTAACAGTAGATTCATTTTAAGGTGTGATTGGGCGGTTAATAAGTTGAGTTCAGTGTAGTATATTTTTTACTAAAATACCTTTTATGCTAGCTGTACATAAATATTTTGTAATAATTGTGNTACCTAATGTTAAATAGACTATTTTACATAGATTTTTTTAGGTTAAAATTCAGTAAACATCATTTAGATTCTCTGAATGAGCTTTACATATGTACCTATAGTATCTACCAAAATCACCGAATACTAGATAAATATGTAGTAAATGATCTATTCTAGAAAAAAACTCAATATAGTATGTTGTGTAGTTACTACTTATAGGCAAAACCATGCGCAGACATTCTTCACGGGTGGGTACTACTCCTTACAAAGTGATCTTATTACAAATATAAACTGGCCTAACCTAATTTAAGAACGATGGAAAAGATATTAAGGGTTATATCTGGGTTTTTTTAATTGCTGATCGGCGTTTATATTCTAATAAATAAATAAATAAATATCTCCTCCATTGGCTAAAAAAATACAAAAAAAAACATGAGTAATCTAATATCAAAATGCACATATATATTTCAGCCAAATTACGAGGAAAAGCTTGATACATTTATTAGAAATTGGTTTTTTTTATGATTAGGTTTTAAATTGCCAATTTCCATAGTCGAGTTTAGTAGAGTAAGCGGCGATTTATTCACGATTCTTTTTCGCCATAATCCCTTCCATTGAAAATTCTTGGGCACGTCACTGAAACCAATTAACTAGATGCCCGACTCTAGATAACCGTGCGCACGACTATGCTTATAAGTACTTTTGGTAAATTTATTTAGTGGAATACATATGTATTTAGAAACCTAAGATTATCTGACCGACACATTATGATTAGATTATCACATGCGTAGGTACATAGATTTGTTGCACTAAACGGTGATTATGATGAATACAATTTTTTTTTTTTGGCAGGGGGAGTAATACTTAAAGTCTAAAAACATTTCATCCCACAAACATTACCAAATAACGTCACTGTAGGTAGGACACTAGTTGGGTCTCAATTAAATTTACTTAGTTAAAACTTTATAAGAAATCGTTGATTTACGTTACAAATGTTTATTTTAGTTATTTTCTCCTTTTTAAATTGTCCTTTTTGTAAAATACTCGTATATTTCTTTTTTTTTTTTTCCATACTTCTCATTTTGATTTAAATGTTTACTTCAGTACTTTTTAGAATTTCTATTCTTCTCACTATTAACTTGAGACCCACCTAGTGTATATACTGTGAAAATCTGGGGGCCCAAGTAGTATAGTACCCGTAGGAACCCGGGATTCAATTTGTATAAAAGTCACATTAACCTGGGACCCAACTATAGAGTAGATTTTTGAATGCGGGACCCAAATTGGATTTTTTTTTCAACCATTATGGGATAGGATCGTCAAACCTTTATTTGAACGCCGTTTTAAATTTTGCACTCCTACACTGCTCGTATACACAACGACAATAAGGCGGTGTCGAGATAAAGAAAATATTCTAATTTTACTTTTGTTCATAATTAATATTTCGTTTCAATGTTATTGCTTTTCTAATATTTCCTCACTAGGAGTGATTGATGATATACTTCTTTCATTATCATACTTCACCGACAACTAAGTATGATGTATTCACAGGTAGATTAACGTGGATTAAACGAATGTTAATTTTATTAATTTAAAAAAAAAAATTATCTATGTTACCTTTATACCTTAGTAATATATGACTGGTTTTTTTTTATGACTAACTATAGATTATCTATATACAGGGTAACTTACGGAGATCAGGTAAATGAATGCAATACATTTTGTTCTGTAAAATTTATTTTTGTTTAATAACTACTAAAGCTATGATTCTTTTATAAGTTTAATACATTTTACGGTCATTATATTTATCAGATCTCTGTGGGACAATCTGAATACAATGCAATCAATTAACCTTAGTTTTTCTGCATTCGTATTTGGTTGATTTATAAATAAGGTTTGTGTGGCATGTCATCGGACATTTTTACCTCTGGGTATTTTTCTTCGAATATTTTTACGGATCACCGTGTGGCATTCGCACTTTTTCTCTTTTCCGATAGTTTTTAATTTTTATTATCAGAGAAGTATCCAATACAGATTGAAAATTAATACGCGAAACTTATTTTCTATATTTGAAAGTAAAACTGAAATCATAGGTTTCCTAATGTACCCAATACAGAATAATAAATCATTATTTTGTTATGTATAGGTGTATACTTTATATAGTCAATGGTGTATCAATGATTAACCAATAGGTGGAGGGAGTTAATGGTGGGGGGAACAAGGAGTTTACGGGCTTACTATCTAATTAACCTTGTCACGTCTTGACCCATCGGTTGCCGGCTGAGCTGAGTTATGACAGAAATTATGTTTGTTTATTTCTTCAATATTTCACGGGGGGTTAATCATGATTTGACGGGTGACGAACCCGCCGACCTACATCCGAGGCATCACTGCCGGAGCTTTTGGATTTTATTTAGTCAAATATTTCTATAAGTATTAGGCCTTAATAACAATCTTAGAGAGAGAAACATAGGGAAAATATTTATCAAAATGAAATAATTAACAATAGTTCAATTCATTTAGTATGGAAGATCGTTCATTTTTTTATTTATTTGTTCTGAAGCATAAGTTAATGGGTATTAACATGCTACGTTAATATGTAAAGAAAAGCCAATCGGCATAAAAACTTCACGCATGTAAAAGGGTGAAAAATGTAGATTCAACAACAGTAACGTACGTACATATGTGCATATATATGTATATATATATATATATATGTATATCGATAAATAGATAGAAATACGGCTAGTAAAAATAACAATCGGTCATGTTTAACATTGACGGGTTGAGTTGTGTTGAAATATTAACATGAGTTAACAATACAATATTTTTAAATACTTAATGTATGGGTGTATGGGAAAAGGAATGGGATCGTGTCATTTGAGATACCTATCAAATAATTTCGTATTTTATGACTAATGTATTGGTTACATTAATATATCGTGACGCGGTAGTAAAGAGTTACGCGTGATTATAATAATAATAATAATAATATTCAGAGGGTATTGTAAGATTTGCAACTATAGGTACTCGTTTGATTTCGAGATTTCGGTGTCAATCGGTGGAGAAGCGGACGGTGTGTGGATCGACATACGTATCTTTAATTTAATTGCAGAGACTCAGATCAGGATCGCACGTTTGCCGCGTGCGCGAATTATACTTTTACTGTAAAAAAGGGATGCCAGTCATCGACTGGATCCATTTTTATCGTCCAAATGGGGGGCCTAACACAGCAACCTGACAAGTTGGGATATAGTATAAGTTGATACCTGCGGGACATGCCTAACCTCAATACGAGTTGTGTCTATTTCACGGTGACAAATTTATTCGGAGCGGTGGTAAAACACACGTAATATTTTTTATTTTAATTGTCAAAAGTTGAACAGCGGACAAATTATGGCATAGTAGTTAGGGAAAAAACGAACTATCACTTACGTTGTTTAAAACACGTAGTATACAATTTAAGAAAAAAGATGGCGGTTAGGTTAGGTTGTTATTAATGTTATTCGGAGTTATATTGGATGTTTTCCGATCTGGTGTTTTTTCGAGGGAACAATAAAATTTACAGAGGAACTCTTTTGAAAAACATAATTTGAGTTTGAAAGAGGAATAGTATTCGTTGGGGAGATGGAGATACTGGCTCAGGAGGAACAACAGAACCTTCAGAGGGTGTATGTGATATTGGTTATTCTGAGGCAGCCCGCGTTGACGTAATCACGAGGTGGCCTCTTTGCCAGTTCCCGAGGTATTTAACTGATGGATAGGTCTAGGGCTGTCATCTTCATCATGAGGAGTGCCATTTAAAGGTCCAAATGTGGTTCGAAACGAATCTCGTTGAGGATACTTGGGGTAGCTATGGTTATTATTTGGGTTGTGATGATTAAAATTTCTGTTATTGATATTCTGGTGAGTGCGATTTCCTTGGTAACTATTTACAGGTCGAGCTTGGATATGATTATCATGATTATGATTATTATTATTATTTAGATATCCGAAGAAAGTTCTCGGTTGGAACCGGAAATGTTGGAAGGATGAAATGGGATTTTATGGCAAAAAGAAGTGGACTCTTTCTTCCACTTCGGTCAAAATTATTAGGAGGTCGTTAGTCGTTTCAGGGTTACTTCCCCGGATTGCCATACCTAGAGGAGTGAGATAATGTTGAGTGATAATACCGACTAGGTCGTATGGATCTACTGGAAGAGACAGATACTTTGCTTTGGCAATCCACATCACAGTGTGATTTGCCAGTCCGCGGGAAGACTTATACTGGAGAACAAATGTCTTGACGTATACGTCGTTGGATGGACGTAGACCCAAATTGATGTCGGAATAAGGCTTTAAGTTCAATATAAATTTCGGGACTAGGTAAGAGAGATTCGAACCGCATTTGAGCGTTTCTGAATAGTCGTCTCTGAAAAATATATATTTTTTGTGTCTCCCTTAAATTTTGATTCGAGTAATATTGATCTAGCTCAATTAAGAATTTTTCAGGGTGGACGTCACTAGTGAATACCGGTGAATTTATGTACTGCGTCATTTAACCTTTCAGACAGGGTCAAATAATTTGTCAGTATAGAGGGATTGTTTTGCAAATTAGTCAAATTGAGAGGGGGTTGAAAATTAGATGTAGAGATTGTAACGTTTCGAATTTGACGAATTATTGATTTAAGTTCATCTGTCTCGGTAAATATCGTGGATTCCGTTTATATAATGGTATTAACGGCTTTTTCGACAACATCTACTCGTTGGGTTGCGTGTCCCGTCTGTTGTTGTACGATCGCGAACTTAGTATCTAGGAGAGATTAGATACTACTGATACTGTCTTCTAACTGTATTTTTATTTTCCCTTTAAGCTCGCCGATTTTCCTCCAAACTATCGTCTAACTTTTTTTGGAATATTCAATTTTTCTCAGCGCTATCTTTCATGAGTGCCATTAAAGTCTGCTAGTGTGTCACTGGGGGGTTCGTCGGGTTTTATAGAGGGAAAGGGTACCAGAGGATTAGTTAGAAATGGATCGATCGTGGTTTTCAAAACACCGGAGGGTTGACGTTAGCCATTTTGGATATACCCAATTGCTTCAGCTTTTCCTCAATGTCTAACTACACGTAACTGGGTCAATCGTTTGTGACATTTACAAAATAACAAAAAAAAGAGCTGATACTGGGGATGGGAGCGGCCACTGTTGTAGGTGAGAAGTATGAAAGGTAGGATACATTGGGTTATTTCATTTATATCTGTAAGCAACAATAAACCATTGCTTGACGAAAAACGAATCCGAGCGTAGTTCGATAATACATAATTTGAAGTGCTGTTTTTTTTTTGCGATTTTCGTTTAAATTTGATTTCAAAATGCTTATTAAAAAAAAATTCGTTCGATCATTTTGGAAATTTTACTACGACTAGGTAAGTCCAATATATAAGTATTATTACCAGGTTTCAAGTCTATACGTTTATTTTTAACTGAATTACAGCAAGAAACTCCCAAAAATGAAAATTCCTTAAAAGCTCAAAACTTATTTTGTGATTTTTCGATTAAGTCGTTTTTTCTGGTAGAAAACGTCTATTGAAATCCGTCGATTCAAAAAAAAAATAAAAAAAAATAGAGAGATCAATGTGTTATATTACAGTTGCGGAAAAGTGTGAGTCCTGCGGAGGGGTGGACCATGCATTCATATCGAAAAAATTAAATCATTTCCCTCGACGAGTGGAAAATAATTTGTATACATGTGCCTAAACGGCTGTTCGCATCAATGTGATGTGGCATACAAATAATAAATAATTCAGTGTAAAAGAAACGATATCAAGTGCACGCGAAATTCATTGCGTTAAATGTGAACGGGAGAATTATAGCTATATATGGATTAAGTAAAGGTACACAAATTTATTCGTCTACGAAATTATTGTTATAATATTATTATCATTATTATTATTGCGGGCCCAAACAAACGATAACCTTTGTCGTATCAGCGGCGGCACCGTGGTCTCATCCGTGTATTCTCGGAACCGATACGGGGACGCGTATAAAGTACGAAAATATTTTGTTAAAATAATATTTTATTAGAAAAAAAAAAACTGTCGAAAAATATTCACATCCAACCGTATTTTAGAAGAAAAATATTTTATCCGAACAGTATTTGTACAGAAAAATATTTTCGACGTAAATATATTATCAGAGTAATATTCGGTTGGAAAATGTTTTGATAGAAAAATGTTTTGTTTGAACCGTATTTCGGTAGAAAAACCTATAAAGGTGATAACACTGTTATCTCATATCATCCGTTAACCGCTGAACATTGGTTTATGGTATACTAATTGGGTAGTTTTCTGGTTTGCGGTTCGTTTTGTTACTAATCAACAAGTGTAGTTGATGTCGTTCAATTCATAATTTCAAAAAAAAATTCGTAGGGAGGGGCGGGAACTTGTTCGACCGATACTCGTCCGCGGCTGTTGTTGTGGTATCGGCGTCGTCCCCACTATTCGGCTGCCCGGTTTTCGTAAGTGACACAATATTGTTGTGCTAAAATGAATGGTCTAACGGCAGAAAATGTTCCAGAGGACGCTGAAACTAGCCGACACTATCCTATTTGCGATTAAATTGTGTATATTGCCGGAGAAAACTGGGGGATAAATGGAAACGAGAATTATATATATGTGTATATATATATATATGAGGAACGGACATCTCTACAGTGTTGTCAAACACGGGTGGTTGTTTACTCGGCGCAGCGTATTTTTAGGATATTTTAAACAGTTCATTAGTATTACTACATTCATTATAATTTTTATTCAATATTATTCTTACTATTATTCTGTGTACAATATTTAGTGGTTCTAAATCATTCTCATAAGCAGAACCCTGTACTATAATACCGTATGTTAATATTGATTGTATAATAGCAAAATAAACCATTTTAATATTGTTAACAAAACTGTCGAGTATATTACGTAGTTCTTTGAATATATAAAAACATTTTCTTAGTCGCGTCATCGTAGTCTCTATTTGGGCTGTCCATTTTAGGTGTTCATCGAATATTACTCCCGAATATCTAGTCGATCCAACTCTATTTAATTTTCGACCATTCGCCCGTGTTTTTATAAAATAATGAAATCGTGAAATTGTACGTTTTCCTACTTAAGTACTTTTATTTTTAAAAAAATAGCGTCGAAAATCAAAAAATGAAGTTTTAAATCAGGAAAAATACCTTTTTGGAAACTTAAATTAGCTAAATAAGTAATCGGTTTAATTATATATTTTGCTATTTGTACTAGTAGATTTGATGAGATTCCATCAAAACCTAGTGATGCACCTTTACGTAATTTTTTTTATAATTTATTTCAACAGATTATATAATATGATATTATGTATGTACTTTTCATTTCATACATAAGTTATCGAAATAAGTTGCCAAATACAGCAATTATTATGTCCAATTAAATAATCAAATAGTAAATTATAGGTTCTTCATATTTTTTTTTTCTTATCAATCGTATTTATATAACATATTTCGTTTATTATGCATATATTATTATTATTGTTTATCTCTTCGAAAAGATAATGGGCCCCACTGAACAGGTTCGTTTGGGGGGCCATGAGTTCATAATTTATAATAAGAAAAATATTACATTCAAATAAATAAATTTATATTAAATTTTTTGTTTTTTACAATTTCAGATTTATGAAACTACCTTAAACATATTCAATGTAGATAACAATAATCCATTATAATTATATTATACCATTTATTTTCACGTACAAAATATGAGTTAATTGTTGAAACAGAACGTTATCATTATCTCGAAAAATCAAAATTTATCGACATTTTATGTTTTTATGCCCGCCCGAAATTATTAACTAACGTAGTAATATACAACGGAGATAAAATTAGCATACCTAAATCCAATTAAACACAAGTATGATTTTGTGCGGCCCGACGAGCCTGTACGGGATAATTAATACTATATAACAGTGGGAATTCTAATTAATTCTTAGTTTTTACACTAGTTACTGTTATTTTTTCATTTTACCGACATTAAAAAACGTATGAGAAAATGCGAGTAGTTTGGTACCATTTTGTACGTTCTCGAGGAAAAAATGTCGATACGAGTTTAAATGTAGGTATAAGTTAGGTCCTAACCGTTAGGGTGACCATTCGTTCCGTATTATACGAGGTTGTCTCATATAATGACTTTTTTAATTTGACTTTTTGTCTCGTTGTCTCGACACAAGTTGTACGGTACGCATTTTATGCCCCATATTTTAAAGTCTGTCACATATTAATCCCGTTTTCCTCTTATTGTTAATATATTACTTGACTTTTTTTTTGATTTCTTTATGACATTATTCAATGAAATCAGCCGCCATCATGAAAATGAAATTGTCTTTGTGTATACATATTTTATTTGTGGGTATATTCAAAAACCTTTTTATAGCTTGCATTTATTTTTTTTTTGTAAATCATAATAATATTATAATTAGGTTCACTTATTATACATTATATACTTATATCATGTTCAATTTTTTTATTTTTACTGTCCTTTTATTTTATTTTTACATTCACTCTAGTATAGGTAAGTGCATATACATAATATAATAATACTCTCTCACTTTCCGAGATTAACGTGCTACGGTACATAAATAATAGGCACTCTGCGTAACCTTTTGTTTAGTAATCGTTTAAATTTAGACATTATGAAATCAATAAATAATTAATAAATAAAATATGTTTTCCCGTCTAAACCGTACTATCATAATATTCGCGAAATAAATATCGTTTCAATTCAGAAATATTATCGTTTATCACTATAATAACGTATAGGTATAATATAATTTATATTAATGAATTTTCCAAAGAGCCACAGACTGCATGTTCCTGACCCCTGGGCTATAGCCTCAAACAAATTTATTTGCTTAAATATGCAAATATAATATTGTAATCATAAAAACAAATATAAAAAATTATTATAAAATATTAATATATCTAACTATATTCATCTTAACTAGGGAGGGGACTATTTGGAAAACTGGAGGGACTTAGCCCCTAGTTGGCTACGTCTATGCTGCAATTCCATATGCAACGCCGCCGCTCACCGTAAGTAAGAAATGTCATAAAAACGCTCATTCGTCCCAATACGATAAACATTAACCCGTGTTGTTGGGCGGATAACAACAGTCGATAGGATATAAGAATAGTTTTTGTTGTTCGCTGAACATTATTCGAACGTCGACAAAGAAAAATCCGACGTACAATAACGCATTATTCGCCCCTCAGAGATCCATAAAGAGCCAATAAACTTTGAAAGAAAAAGGAAATTTACTGTCATTAAAATTCGTATGAGAAAATGCGAGTAGTTTGGTACCGTTTTGTACGTTCTCGAGGAAAAAATGTCGATACGAGTTTAAATGTAGGTATAGGTTAGGCTCTAACCGTTAGGGTGACCATTCGTTCCGTATTATACGAGGTTGTCTCATATTTTGACTTTTTGTCCCGTTGTCCCGACACGTGTTGTACGGTACGCATTTTGTGTCCCGTATTTTAAAGTCTATCCCGTATTAATCCCGTTTTCCCCTTAGAGTTAATGTATTACTTGACTTTTTTTTATGTCTTTATGACATTATTCAATGAAATCTACTTTACAATGGCATTTGTGGGTTATTGTTTTGACCATTCCATCGGGTATATTGTATAACACACGGTATATATTAAGTAGGTAATGACCATATTTTAAAAGCGATTCTTGTAATAAGTTTTACGATATTTTATTAAAAGATAATAAATATTATACTCGACGCAATTAGTTCAGCACAAAAGTACACAAAACAGCAGAAGAAGAAATTAATCAACCGCCATAATGAAAATACAATTGTCATTGTCTATACATATTTTATTTGTACATTCAAACGCTCTGTATAATATTGACAAAACATAATTATTAACTGTTAAAAGTGGTTGAATTGGATGCTCAATAAGGATATACGTATTCATAACAATCAATAAATCATTTTGTACAATGGCGGTATTGTTAATTTTATTGAGTTAGTAATATATTTCTATAAATTATTTAATAAAAACCTCAATCAGTACAATGCAAATATTGTCACTAAATATCTTCATCAACATAACAATAATGTTGTTAGCTCGACATAAAAATCTGTTTAAAATTTAATAAAGTGTTAGGTTAGGTTAGGTTATAGAAATATGTTTATACTAATATGCCTTGATAGCATATCCGTAATGATAACATTATATTAATATCAATTTTTTATCAAAAAAAAAATGATTATATTTAATAAATATTGATAGTATATCAAATAATTATTTTGTAAAATAATAATGTGAATATATTATCATTATATTATTAATAACAAATTTTTAAATGATATTTTGAATATATTCATCATATGATATCATTGATGAAATAATAAAATAAAATCCCGAATATATGATCATAATATTGTTGACCGTGGTCCGCGACGATTTGCTATTCACGCAATAAACGATACTAGTCGTTTACTTATTATCTCCATACATAAAGTATCATAAATCAAAAACATATAATTTGTAATGTAGTTGACAGTTAAATTAAATTTGTATTATTATTGTTTTTGGTCATTACATTATATTATACAATACCTACCGTAGCCAATTTTTTTTAGGGGGGAGGGGCATTTATCATTTTTATTTAAGTTACCACATTTTTTTTAACGATAAAAAACACCGAAATAACCAATAAACAAAAAAGGGGTCATACCCACAAAAAGTGTTTTTGGAACTTTAAAACCAAGTTTTTGCACGTCGGAAGTCAAAACCGGTTTGTTATGGACGTTCCGCCGGAGCTGTATAATATTTCATTTGGAAGGTACTTTAGAGAGGTCGTTTTTCGATTATATAGAACAATTGGAAAATGAAATCAAAGATCAAGCGAAATCTAAACTTTGATATTCCGAAAGAAGGAAAAGAATTACTGCCTCAAATGTCGGAAAAATATGTAAAATGAGGCAGTATACATCATGTACAAAGATTGTTCACGATTTGCTATATGGCAATATTAATCATAAAATAAAAGCTATTCAATATGGGCGTGCTATAGAAATTGAAGTTAAAATACTTGTATTTAGTTGAACATATTTCATATTTAGCTGCAAGTCCAGGTAATTATTTCATTAATCAAATTGAATGTTGTACTTTACTTTATTAATTATATAATTTAGATGGTTTCATTGGCGAAGATTAAATTATCGAAATTAAATGTCCTTTTTCAGCTAGGAATTATTCTGATTTATTTGATGCTATCAACTCAGGAAAAGTAATATCTCAAGGCTCTAGATTTTCTTTAAAACATAATATTTTTAAAAAATGTTTAATTTTCACAGATTCCTTTTTGTTTTAGAGACGAAAAAATATCGTTCAGTTAAAAAGAATCATAATTATCATTATCAGATTCAAACCCAATTACATGTAACCAAAAGAAAAGAATGTCATTTTTTTATGTACTCGAGAAATCGGCATCATAATATATGTACCACTAATGATGATAACTTTTGGTATCAAAAAATACGATCTCAAATACATTTGTTAGTATTACCTATATTAATAAATTGAAATTGTTTAAAATTCAAGTAATTAGTAAATAAATAATCAAAAACCACCTATAATATAATATTTCATAATTTAAAATATATAATGAATGTTTATTGCCTGAATTAATAAATCCACAGTTTGGCAAGATATTTCTAGTTACCGATATTATCGATTCTTTAAGAATTGTAAAAGAACAAGCAACCAAAAAGAAGTATTACCTGTATACGTGTATTTTATACTTCGGTACTTGTACTCATATTAGTATGATATCAGTCAAAACGTAATAATGTATAGTGTATACCACGTTAACATGGGTACTATCGAATCAACTTATTTACTAGAAATATTGCTCCGATAAAAAGATGACAAATTTTTATTTTCATACTTGATCTAGCTGATGCATTGTGGAGATCATTTTTTTATTTCCCAAGTGGATTTCATAATAAAATTTTCTTGTTTTTCCTATGTTTTTCCCGGTTTTCAATGTTTTTTCTTGGTTTTCACATTTGCTGAGAATACTCTCAGGTTAGGTTAGATTAGGTTTTGATTAGGGATATCGAAAAATGACTTCCATAAAGTACCACCCCACACCGATTTCCTTTCAAAAAAGGCGTTACACTTAAAAATCGGCGCAAAATTTCTGGTAGAAAAATTGCGCACAAATAAAACAAAAAAAAATTAAAAAATAAACAACTTTGTAAAACCATAGGCTTCTCCATTCCAATCAGAATCTAAAATGTTTTTTATCGTTTATCTATTGGAGTAATATTTATGATAGAAAACACCGTGTAATCACAATGAAAAAAATGAAAACGGTTACGCTGTAAAGCGCCGTAAATATTTGCCGTTTACCTAAAATTTTCTTTCGGTTTTTTCCAATTATTTCGAAAATGGTGGAAAACGTAATTGTGCTTCAATGAAATACCAGTTTTGTATAACAATAAAACCTTTTTGGTTCTGATAACGTGCATATTGCAAAATTTGGAACTTGAATAGATTGCAACATGTAATACGAAATGCCCTCTTGGCTTTAATTTGGACGAAGATTGGTTTAATATTGTACCGAACATACAAGAAATGAAAAAAAAACCACAAAAGCTCAAACCATCTTCAACCTGGACACGGTCGCACAAAAGTCCATAATTATTTATGAATGTTTATATATATATATTATATACACAGGATTTTAACGTTACTAATTCGTATATAACAGATAAAGAAAATTGATGAAATTTATTGTACAATTTTCATGAGGTTCATCATATTAGGTTGTATTTCTCGTTAAAAAAAAAATACCAACCGTAACACAGTAATTTGTTTTAAAATCATTTTCAAATTTAAAGTAAATAGTAAATACCACTGGATTTTAAAACGCCTATAACAAAACTCCGTTAGCAATTGTTTATTGTTGAACGCCTACGAACATCTATTATGTAGTATCACGAATCCTACTTTTTGACATTATTTTAGTATCTGAATCGATCAAAACGTTTCCCGAAAAAAGGCATAGTGAAATTTTAATCGTTCATAAATAGGTGTATCATATTCATCGCTGGTTGTTTAATAATATAAAAAGCAATTATGCAATTAAAACGATTCGAGCTACGGTAGAAAATGAATTTAATAATCTATATATACGTACATATAAAAAAAAAAAAAAAAAAAAAAACAGTAGCCGTTAAAAGTAATTAGTTCACGAGGTACGCGCGCTCATTACGGCGTCGGCGCGTTTGACGCACGGTGCGACAATGACGCCGGTCTAATAGATAGTAATAAATTTTAATTGTGTCAACAGCACGGCCGCCCGTGAAATAATAAAATGCCCCTCGGCGCGAAACCGAAACGTCCGAAACTCAGCGAACCGGCTGTGTCGTGAAACCGAAGCGGTGGACGCGGTTACGGCTGGCCGCGACGGCGGCGGATACGGCGCGCAACGCTGTCTCTCGAGCGTCGTATACGTTGCGCATTCGGCGTGGCGTCGGACTCAGCAACAGTGACATCGTCCGAAGGGTCGGAGACATTTTTCGGTTCAGGAAGATTGATTAACAGAGTACATTGTTGACTCGACGCTAACGCACGCCGGGGACGCGTTCGGGCACATTAGATTCTAATAAATTGACCCTATTGTTCAATAGGTTTAACTCGTCGGTAAGAGAGGTGATTTTCGCGGAAAACAAATCGATTTTATTAATATTTAATTCCGAGAAGGAAACATCGCAACTATTAATATTGGTTTGGATGCTATCAAATTTTCGCATAAGGCGACCGAAGTTGGTGTATTTTGATTGTAAACCGTGTTAACAAATTTGGATTGTGTAGATATTTATTTATTCAATTATACAGTGTATATACAATTAACTATAGTATAGATACGTACCGGCAGTATTGTACGAAACAACTACAGTCGAACGAATTTGTAGGTAATCGGTAAAACGGTAATAAATATACGATAACGTCGATAACGGAGCTCGGTAACGAGCACAAGACAACCTATTCTATTGTGATTATGTTCCGTATACCAGTGTTTTCAAACTTATTTTACTTACGAAATCGTTCGGGAACTTGTATATTTGGCGATACCTCCAATTTTTTTAATAACCGCATAACGGAGACACATTTTTTAGATACTCAAATGAGCGGGTAGTCAGACACTCCCGGCAAAATGTTTGCAGGTAATCACTTTCCATGGCATTCTAGAACTCCTCAATTTTAATTATAAAAAAAATAATCAAATCAAAAATGTTTAAAAATTTATTTTTTCTCAAATCACGGCACCTCTGGTTCCGCTGGTTCACGGAATCCTTGGATTCCGCGGAACACCAGTTTAGAAACACTGCTATATGCTATAGCATAATGGTGACTATCTTTCTCTAATTGTTGTTAGACGAAACAGAAATGTTTGAAAATTTGACAGGAGGTTCATTATAATTCGTTCTTAGTGTACAAGAAAAAAATTAAATAAAATTTCATTAAATCTCATCTCTAACTACTTTCCCAAATTCTCAGTTGCCCGTCTTTTTTAACCCGTAGTTGCAACTTTAGTCAGAAAATTATAATAATCTTAAATTTGTTTTATTTTTCTATTTTCAAATTGACTACGTAAATACAATGTTACATACAATGTTAAATGAGTATAACCAATATACGAATTTTTTTTATCCGAGTAGTGTAGTCCAAAGGCTCGCATTGCAGCCTTTGACCTATGATATTTACTCGAATTATCACGTGGTCTTATTAATATTAAACTAAAAAGTAATAGTGTGGTGCTATGCCTCTTCTTAAATAAACAATTACGGAGCTTAAGGTAAATTTATTTTAATGCAACGAAGGATTAATAAAATAGTTTTTATCATTTTTATAGGTTTTTCACATATTTCTGGGTTTAACAATTTTTTATTTTTTGAACGCATCCTTTTTCAATTTTTAAAATGATTAGGGTGAACCAATTAAAACTATTTTCGACTAAAATGTTAAGATATGCTGAAATACCTATACCAACCTATTATTTCTAATTATTTCTTTAAAGATCTATATAATTTAATTAATTAGAATCTAATGAGATTCTAAAGTCTGATTTCAGCATGATTTAATCGCGACTAGTCGATATTAACTGTAATTAAAATTATTTTAACCTCTGGTTGAATGTCATTACAATCGGTTAAGGCTCAATCATGTGTAAACGCTAACCAGCCATTTCGAGTAATTAACGTCGTGCCGTTAATCGTGGTTTAAACAATCATCGATATAAAATATCTATTCAAAATATTTTGACAACTAGATATCGAGGTTCATTTTCATTATTCAAATATTAATATATTTCTCTACTGATTTCCATCAATTCAAATAAAATATAAAAAAAATTGTGCGGTCTTTTGAGATGGCATTTGAAGAAAACGGAGTTCCTTGTTCGTTGTTCAAAACGGATAAGAGAAAAGTTTTATTTTCCCAGTCTCATAAATTGGAATTTTGAATTTTCGTTTATTTCATTTGGTTGTAAGTCATTGGTAAAGATTTGCAAAGATATTTATTTCGTTTTGTAAAGAATTCGTTTTGCTACAAAATAAAAAAATAATAATGTGAGGTTGGGGAAATGCCCCAAATTTTATATTAAATTTAGATGTTTTTTAAAAAAAATTATAAATATAGTATATAGTATTATATTTTTGCAGAATAATAAAAACATTCGCATTTGACCATTGTGCACTCTTTCACAGTTCACTAATATAGTTTTGATTGCCAAGTCATCATAAAGCTTCCACGTACCTACTGTTTGATCGCTTGCCGTTTACCTGCTGTAATGTAACCTCCTTAAAATTTTCTCCAGTAAACGAACAAATTCCTCTTTTAATTCGTACGTCGTATTTTGTATAGTTAATGCCGAAGGTACTTCACTTAATTTTATATCGTCTGACTATCGTCCATTCGAATCCAAAAAACGGGTATAAAAAAAAAAATTATTAATTTGTATAAATATTCTTTTGAAATTCTAAATCTTGAAGATATTTTAAAATGCTGTTCCTGCTTTCTTGTATAAAACATCTATAAATATATTATATTTATTTATACGATTATATTTATCCGGTTTTGTTGTAGTATTAATGTGACATATATTTATATTGTTTTGTAATCGTTCATTCGTACATTCAATTAGATTTTAAAAGTAACAATCATATAAAATGTATAAAGTTTGACTGTATTGTTTAATTTTGATATGTACATTTATTATGAATGCAATTTTACGGCTTATGTTTTCTACAAATAATATTGCTCCAGTAAAAAAATAAAAAAAACAAGACCTTTTTGGTTGAATTTTTAATCTAATTGGTGACCAAGATAGTCGTTTTTTGTAATTTTTTTAAAAGCTGAGCAAAACTGAAAAATGCGCAAAAAGAAAGAGAATATTTTCGGAAATATTTCTTTTATTATTTTAAATTTTTTTTTTGATGTATTTCAATTATAAATATTCGTAAAGACTTATAATTTTGACAGAAAGTCTATATTTAATTTTTATAGAGGTGGTAAAATTGTTGTTAGACCAAACAGAAATCTTTGAACATTTGACAGGAGATTCTTAGTCGTTCTTAGTGTTAATAAAAAAAAAAAAAAAATATTTTAATGTTTTTTTTTATAAGTTTTAAAATCAAATGTTGACGAAAAGCGTAAATATTACGGCCTTTCAAAACAAGTATAAATGAAGTTCGCTCAGAATCGTTTTTCATTGGTTACAAACGGAATAAATTAAATAACTTAATGTATCCTACCATCCCAACTAACTATTAACAACAATAGCCGTACCCGTTCCCAGTATTAAATCTTTTTTTATATTATTTTTACCTAAAAAACTTTCACCAGAAATTTTGTCCAGTTGATGAATTTGGTGGCCATTTTTTGATTTTTCTCGTAGTTTTCTGAATAGTTGGGAAAAAATTGGGAAGGAAAAACCTGTAATTTAATTAATATATAATTACTAATAATGTATATTATAAAGTACAATTAGAAGATGAAAACATCTTGAAGACAATTAATTCGATAACACAATCGTTGTTTTAAAATTGAATACACAACGTATTACTGAATGTGTGAGAAAAATTGAGTTTAACATTTTTTTTTTTTTTAAAAAACTGTGACTTTTTGAATCGTTAATATTGTAAAAAATCGCCAGTTGTATATTTAATTGTCTTCTTAATTGTGATCGAAGTATAATCATCCAAAACGTCAATTTTAAATGTAATTAAATTTATTTCACGCGAACTCAGAAACAGAAAATTCTACTGTGACAGTTTAGTTACGATAAAAAAATTTAAAAAGTTGATACTGGGGACGGGTTCAGCTATTGTTGTAGCTGGTGGGAAGTTGGGATGATAGGATACATAAGTTTATTTCATTTATATCTTTAGCAACAGTAAACCATTTCTGACGATCCCGAGCGCATATAATTATGTATATAATTTGGAGTGCTGTAATTTTTTTTTGCGATTTTTGTTTAAATTTGATTTCAAAATACCCATTAAAAAAAAATTTAAAAATAATATAGGCTCTTGTCGTTTTTCAATCGGAGCTTGATTTGTGCCAGAAAACGTGGTAGGTACTTATGTGAAATAACGAAATCGTGAAAAAATCATATCTTTTCCCCCGGTTAACCGTTTTTATTTTAAATACCGTTTCGAAAATCGAAAAATGACCTATGTATACCAAGTAGATAAAATTGATTTTCAGAAAAGGTGCAACATTTATTTATCGGAGTACATTTTATAAGATAAAAATGGTTTAAATTATAAAAAAAAAAAATTAAGTACCATAATAAAAAAATTTAAAACAGGAAAAAAAAGTCGTCTGATGATTTTAGAAATTTTACCACTTCTAGGTAAGTCCAATTTAATTATTATTACCAAGGTTCAAGTCTGCACATGTATTTATAACCGAATTACAACAAAAAATCTCCCAAAAATTAAAATTCCATAAAAGCTTAAAAGTTGCTGAAAAGTTTTGACGATGATACCATAAGAAAGCAAATCAAAAAGGCAACAAAAAAAGTACTTTGTGTTTCTTTGATTAAATCTTTTTTCTAGTAGAAAACGTCGTCCGTGTTTTTATAATATAATGAAATCGTGAAATTGTACGTTTTTGTAAATTTTTTCTCACTTATGTGCTTTTATTTAAAAAATGACGTCAAAAATTCAAAAAATGACGCACTTGATGTGCAGTCTAGACAACTTGAGCTTGCATAAGAGTTGGTACACGTAAATATCAGAGCAAGTTTAATAGGAAAAAACGTGTCCACAGTCTAGAAGAAAGAAAAAGAAGAAAAAAAGAATTAAACAGCATTGTAAAACCAATAGCTCCCTCGATACGCTCGGAATCTAAATATTATTGTGCGTTATCGTCATTTAACATTGATTTGACTTTGGAATAATATTCTGCTACCGACTTTAGAAAGAATAAAAATAAAAATATAAATGCCATAAATAGGAATAATAATATTTTTCCCAACCGGCACACGAATGCATGCGCACGAAGTGGTACTCGAATTGACATTGGTCTCCCTTCTCTAAATGTCTATCCGCGGGCAAGCGTAAAGCATAGTAGGTTTTTAAAAATACATATTGATTTTCGTTAACATTAACATTGTCTTATTGTTATTGTTATTAGACTTTACACCCGGTCATAATCTGATGAAATCGTATTTATTACATTACAGAAAAATCGCTTCTCCTGCATTGATCCGGAGTACACCAGTCAGTGTGTTGTCATCGATATTATCACTATTATACCGGTTCGTATTTTGAAACTGCGGCCCGAATTAGTATATTATCATCCGCGTTCTGCAGCACGGGATTTTGATTCGAACCGACGGCGATTTAACAAGTAAGTCACATATTATTACTTGTTGACAAATTATAATATTTAATGAGATGGTCCGCGGACGTGTCGTTCAGGTCCATTTCCCTGGCACCCCCATTAATGAATTTCGAAACGAAATCAAAGGCATTTTTTTGTGCTGATTTGTGCCGCTAATCCCGACATTTGTGCTGATTTGTGCCGTTAATCCCAACATTTGTGCTTTTAAAATTTCCGAGATACGGCCGGTTTTTTCAGGGGGTGCCGGGGAAATAGTTACACTTCTTTCCGATGTGTATAATAACCATCGTAAGCCCTTATATTTTACGCATAATTTATTATGTTTGGTTGTAAGCCCATATTAGTGATATCTATGAATATTTTTGTTAAAAGTTGATTTGCTGTTTTTAATAGTTGAACATTTTGGGAACATGCGATAATTAGGTATTTAAATATACTGAAAAATATTCATTGATAGCACTAATATGGGCTTACAACCAAACATAATAAATTATGCGTAAAAAAATACGGGCTTACGGTAGTTATTATACATGTCGGAAAGAAGTGTGACTATTTACCCGGCACCCCCTATGCAAATCGGCCGTATCTCGGAAATTTTAAAAGCACAAATGTCGGGATTAACGGCAAAAATCAGTTCAAATGTAGCACAAAAATGGGCTCTTGGTTTCGTTTCAAAATTCATTGGTGAGGGTGCCAGGAAAATGGACCTGTTGTCGTCGTTCCGAGTGACGAATCGATAAAAACATTTTTATCGATCTAATTTTATGCTATCAAAGTAATTGAAATGCATAAGATCTTTTTTAGACTCTGAGTGGAGCAACGAAGCTTATGGTTTTACAAAGATCCTTATTTTTTTTTTTCTATTTTTTAGTGTAGCTCTTTTTCTGAGAGAAAATCGGAATGTATAGGTACTTTAAGGTGATCATTTTATGATTATCTCAAGAGTTTTCTCAATAAATGGAAAAAACGGGGAAAAACAAAAAAAATAAGTACAATACCATATATTATTAAAAAAATATATTATATAACACCTACCTACTAAAATTATTTTACTATAATATAACATATATCAGATGATACATTTAAGTGGGTACACTCATTATCTCGTAAAGTATTAACTTTTTCCAGAATTTGTTTTCTAGTAAATTTAAAAAACAAGCTACTTTACAATTTTATATTTATGTTATTTTTGACACTTTTTGGGGGTAAAAACATTGCCTACTTTTGATTTTCAAATAGCAACCTACATTAAAAATTCCATAAAGAGATGGAATATTAGTTAAAATGAATTTGAGTGTTGAATACCTTATGGAAAATATAACAATGAAAGGCGAAAATATTATATAAGATTCAATATAAAACAAAATTTAATGTCCGTTCTGTGCATTGTAATTATAATGGGTGCAGGTAAAATTGGTACTACATCATTTCTATAAATGTGTTTGTATTATTGATTATTGGAATTGCCAAACAAATTCTTTCTTGAGTTAAGTTAGGATTTTGATATATTTTGGCGTTTTGAAAATGCAGTCTTGTTCATACAGTATAAATGAACATTAGTTACCGATATGGTTTAAAATTTTGATAACGTTATATTATTTTATTGCTTTAGCGTTTTAAAATATTTATATTAAGTATCTAAATAATATATTAATAGACAGTTGCTCAGAACAAAACCGTATCTAGACCTGATAAACTTTCAACAAATTTGTTGTTTATTTTTTAATTTAATTTTATTAAATTCATATTAAAATTTTAACATTTTACTTCCATCAAATAATATTCTTCCTTACTCTTGAATTTTTTTTTAGGTACGCATATAATGCGAACTACGTTACTGTGTAATACTTACGTTCTTCTAATTATACCAAACAATATATTTTTCAATATTACACCGTGTGTTTGAAAATAAACCAAATAATAAACCACAATAATAATAGTGGTATAGTTAATTTTATTTCGAGGTCTATATTTTGAGCCAGACACCCCATGATTAAAAAAAAAAAAAGTTTGGCTCCCCCTTGTCTCCCATTTCAATAGGTAGTGACTGTTCTTTAGAAAAAAAATTGCATTTACAAATACTTTATATTGTATAGATAATCTATAGTTATTGTAGAAATAAAGAAATTTATTCAAGTTTCGATTTTTTTTATTTAATTATTTATTTACCTACGTATTATAATTTATATTAATTTACATGAAACTGATAACTTCTTCGGTAGACATGTTAAAATATAATATTATGCACAGTTGAAGATATCGCCCGCGCTGGGTTATAAATGTTAAAAGTTCAAGCTCGTATCATAATGTATACAATTTAACCTTAATTTTTTACAGTTAAAATAAGAAAACATTATTATGAAGTTCACAATATTTTTTATCTAACCCAATAGTAATAATTATTAATATGTTTGTTTGCGTGTGGCTGTGTGAAAGTGGATGTCTATAGTGTGCAATAATTATTAAGTGTTGAACCTTGCGCGGTGCATTTTGTTTTCTATTTCGATGGACGTAATAATATTTTATTTTTTAATCGTTTAATAATAAATCATCCAAAAAAAAGACGATCGTGTAGAAAATATACCGTGTTTGTTCTGAATAAATCGTTTATGTAGAGGTGCCTATATTGTGTAAAACGCATAAAAAAAAAATTAAATTAAACTAAAACCCGTTTAAATTAAAAATATTTTGGTAAATAACTTTGTTCTACGAAAATTAACAGCTGCAACCTTGTCTAATTAATGAATTTGATAATGGGGTACATGGAAAATACCTCTAAGTGGTGTAACCCAGGCAACGTTCTTAACGGCTCATTTTTCCAAATCCAGGCACATATGTTCTCTACATATATTGCAATATTATTTTATACTTTAACAATAGTCAATGGTGTTATTGCGCTGGTGTGTGGTGTTAATGCAAGAGCGTTCGATCGATTAATACTAGTTAATTGTACCTACCCAGAAGTCACGAGTTCATACAAGAGTTCCAAAACATTTTTTTTTGTAAAACCAAGTAGGAAATGTAACAGAAAAAAAACATATGCATTTTGTTTCAAAAAATAGTTTTAAAATCAAATTTTGACGGAAATCGTAATTATTACGGCCTTTCAATAAATGTATAATCGAATTTCAGTCCGAATCGTTTTTCGTTATCAACAATTTATCGTTGGTTACAGATATAAATTAAATAACTTAATATATACCACATTTTCCACTACACAACTACAAGGGTGAAAGTACCAGTATCATCTCATTTATAGACTATTACTATAGCTTTCTGCCTTTTTTCGGGATAACAAAGAAGATAAATATTTATAAATATTCTCGGCAACTTATGCCTATCAGACTTATTGTTTCTAATCATTTTTTTTTTCAATCTTTAAGTCTTAAATATTTGAATATTGAGCTTTCAATATTATTTTCAATTTTTCACCACTACTACTCATATCTGCAATGAGTACACCTATATTCGAATTAAAAATAAATATAAAATTCACCCAAGATCCACCAAGAAACCACCCACGGTAAATGAATCTTCTGGAATATATAAATCTAACGAATGGCATCGGAAGTTTGTAGCGTCTATACTTAAACAAATACGGCGGCTTAAATAAATTGAAATTCCCAAAATTAAATAATTGGATCAGCCATTTTAAAGTTTAAAAATAGGAAAATTTCCTGAAATTGTACATAGACTATTTAGGAACCGCGTATCATCGTTAAAGTAGAGTGTAATCACGCAATTTATAACCCGTCCCTACTCCTCCAGTCTAAACTTTTTAAACGGTTATGATTCTTAAACGGTAAATCTGATATTAGTGTTATGGATACCAAAAGTTCTAAAAAAAAAAAAAAAAATTATATACTTATTTAAGGTATTTGGAGTAGGGGTAAAAAATTTAAAATAGTTTTAACTTAATCGATTCCGTGATGATAGAAAAAAAAAAATACGGCAGAAATCAAATTCATTAAAATCCTTCTGGAAACTTAGCGGTTTGTGATAAAAAAAATCACCACGTATATTTATATATTCTGTATAATATATCTTAGTAGTTTGTAACACGGTGTATTCCTAACAAGTTGATATAACAAACGCAAATAATCGATTTCACCGTTATCTTATACATAAAATTCTCGTGTCACGTGTTTGAAGTCGCACTCCTCCGAAACGGCATGACAGATTTTAATGATATTATTTTTTTTTATTTGGTAGGCATGAGAATAAGTCGTAAAGTATTTTTAACCCCCTTAAAACCACCCATTACTTGTAAATCGCGATTTTAGTATTTTCGCATATAAATAAACACGAGCAACATCAACTAATTTAGCTTATAATATAATAAATACTATTTTTCTTTTTGTTGATTTGTGTTACACTGGTAACAGGGATGAAAAACCGGTGATTGATTGTTATTACAAATTATACGGTTTAACACGGCAAAAATCAAAATTTATTATGAGTAAAATAATAATAATACAAATTGGCACAGGCAACGTCGGGCGCGGGCCAGCTAGTAATCTAATACAATTATTATTTATCTATTTATTTTACAATAAATATACTGGCTGTTTGTTGTACTGAAAACGGTTGTTAATAAAAAATATGCATATTTTATATTTTTGATCGCTTATCACAACAGTAATAACAATTATCGATAACGCGTACAAGCCATCGGTTTACGTATATACGTCTGAAAACTGTATAATGGGAAATTATAATAATTATTGTTGAATGTATGTAAATACGGAATTTAGATATATTTGCGTTTATAATCTACAGAAAAAAAAAATTTTTTTTTATAATAAATCAGCAATGTTTGTGTATTAAATTATCAGATTAAAAGCGTAGCGAGATACAATCGCAAGTGACGAACAATTGATGTGGATAATAATTATATAATTTATATAAACACGATTATTTATATTATTTCAATAATGATGAATAAGGTACAAGTTGATTTTTTTTATGTAATAAAATTATGTGATTGTAAAATACCTATGCAAACTGTTATTGTTATTATTATTTTTTTTTTACTACACCATAATTACATTCGGTTAAACAACGACCTACCTATTTAATATTTTGCAATTTTTTATAATATTTCAGTAGCTACATCCACAATGCCAGTAAAGTATTCGGAGACTGGCCATCAAGAAAATAGTACGGTTATGAACGGTAATTCTTTATGCTCTGAAAACGAAGAAGTAGTTATAAGCGGGATTTCCGGACGTTTACCGGAATCCGAATCGATTGCTGAGTTCACAGAAAATCTATTTGCTGGGGTAGATTTAGTAACAGACGATGATCGCCGTTGGCCACCTGGTAAAGAAAACAATACAATAAATTATTATCGCTTACAACAAGAGACTAATCGTTTTTTACATTCCATCATGTTATTCTGTTTATTAAATTGATATGGTATTTACTATTAATATGATGCCATGAAATTAAGACAATTAACATTGGTTTAAAAATATGAAAAATTTCAGGTCTATACGGCCTACCATTAAGAACGGGGAAACTCAAATCATTGGAATACTTCGATGCCAATTTTTTTGGAGTACACGCAAAACAAGCTGAAGTTATGGACCCGCAATTAAGATTACTTTTAGAAACCACCTATGAATGTATTGTAGATGCTGGTAAGCTATCCACTAAATTAAAACATGTAAGGTTTATTGTATTTAATTAAATATTGTAAATTATAGTATACATAATACAGTTAATAATATTAGTACCTACATAATTATACGTAGTAGGTATTGAACAATTTTTAAATAGGTGTGAATCCTGATGATATTCGTGGATCAAAAACCGGAGTGTTCGTCGGCACAACTTTTAATGAAACTGATGATTACTGGGGCAGAAATCAAGAAAGTGTTAATGGTTATGGATTGACCGGTTGTTGTCGGGCCATGTTTTCCAACCGGATTTCATACACTTTTGATTTAAACGGTCCTAGTTACGCGATAGACACAGCTTGTTCGGGAAGTTTGTTTGCTTTGGCACAAGCACTACATGCTATACGAAGCGACCAGTGTGAAGCTGCGATTGTAGGAGGGGTCAGTGTATTGTTAAAACCTACAAATTCATTGCAATTTCACAAATTAAACATGTTATCGGCAAAGGGAATGTGCAAAGCGTTCGATGTGACTGGTGAGTCTGTGTATATTAGTGATATGAAAGAGAAAAAGAGAAATTCAAGTAATATATAGATATTTAAAATTGAATGTAGGTAATGGATATGTAAGAAGTGAAGCTGTCGTTTCGATATTCCTACAAAAGGCCAGCGTAGCTAAACGTAGTTATGCCACTGTAGTAGAAGCATTAACCAATAACGACGGGTTCAAAGAAGAAGGAATTACTTTCCCTAGTGGTAAAATGCAAAATAGGCTAATTCAAGAAGTATACGCCAGGTGCGGTGTGAACCCAGCCGATGTAGATTATGTAGAAGCTCACGGTACCGGAACTAAAGTATGATCATAATGTAATGAAAATATATTTATATAAATATATATAATTTTCATTAGAATTTATGCGTAAGTTTAGGTCGGTGATCCCCAAGAAGTTAACTCTATCGCTGAATTTTTCACTAAAGACCGTACTTCACCTCTATTAATTGGCTCTGTGAAATCAAACATGGGACATTCTGAATCTGCTTCCGGTCTTTGTTCGTTGGCTAAAGTAGTTATTTCATTAGAAGCTGGGAAAATTCCTGGAAACCTTCACTTTGCTAACCCGAACCCAAACATTCCAGCCTTATTAGACGGACGGTTAAAAGTAATCTACGACAAAATTATTGGTTTTTTTTTTTTATTAAAACAAACAATCTGTTTTCAGGTCGTAGATAAAAACTGCGACTTTAGCGGTGGTTACGTAGCAGTAAACTCTTTTGGTTTTGGCGGTGCCAATGCCCACGTCTTATTAAAGTCCAACCCTAAACAAAAAATTGATCCGATTATGAACGATATACCTCGTTTAATTTGCGTATCTGGACGAACAGACGAAGCAGTTAATAACATGCTGAAAAAAGTAAATTTCTATTTAATTGAATATATCATTTCAATTATATATTTATTAAATGTGGTTTTTCAATAGATTTCCCAAACTCCTTTAGACGACGAATTTGTTGCTCTGGTACACGACATCCACGCTAATAATATTAACGGGCATGGATTTAGAGGATATTCTGTTCTTGGAAAATCAATCTCTGAAGTAACGGTATGTTATTTTAAATTTAAAACGTTTCATTATTGAAACTGAATCCCAATTTTAACCCTATTAATGGCTCTTTTAGGAAGTAAGGATATCTAAACGACCTGTTTGGTTCATTTTCTCCGGAATGGGAAGTCAGTGGGCTGGTATGCTTGAAGGATTTCTTCAGTTAAAACCATTCGCTAAGGCAATTCATAAAGCTGCAGCTATACTTCAACCTAAAGGTTTTGATTTGATAGGCACTTTGAGCTCCAAAGACGAATCGACTTTTGAAAATCCCCTTAACTCGGCTTTATCAATAATAGCTATGCAAGTAATGTTTTGGTATTTAAATTAATTATTCTTACATTGTAAAGGTAATTAAAAAAAAATTTTTTTATTTTTTTGAACCTATGGATAGGTGGCTTTAGTCGATTTGTTAAAATCATTAGGTATTGAACCAGATGGTTTTCTTGGACACTCTGTCGGAGAAATCGCTTGCGCATATACCGATGGTGCATTTACTATTGAACAAACGATGATGATTTCATACATAAGAGCAACTTCTATATTAGAATCTAATTTAGTTAAAGGGTCTATGGCTGCAGTCGGTAAGTGAATTTTAATTTATTTAAATAGTTGTTTTGTGATGCAGGGTTAACAAAACATAAGAAAATTATTATCTCGGAATGTATTAACTATTTATAAAGTTTGTTTTTTAGAAAATTTATAAACAAGCAGGTTGATATCTTTCTACTAAATTTAAAACGATTAAATTGAATTGTGGAATTTCTTGTCAACAGATTGATAGAAATGAAACATTTATTAAATTTAAAAATGTATACAATTCTGAAATTTTTAATATACGTTGCTTATTAAAAACCAAAAGTGGATAGTAGTTTCACCCCGGAATATAACAGTATGTAGCATTTAGAATTGCTTGTTGTATATTATATGTGTACATATAATGTTTACAAAGCATCTGTATAAACTGAACTCCGCACAGAATCGTTTTTTCGTTATCAATGGTTTACCGTTGCTTACAGGATTATATTAATTTTCTTTCTGTATCCTACTTTCCCAACTTTTCACTTAGATCAGTGGCTGTACCAACGTGTAATGTATATCCATCTTTTTAAAAAATAAACTTCGAAAATCATATTTAATAATTATAAGATAGTAAGAATCTCATAATATATTGATCATTATGTAAGTAATGTATTTTTATTTTTTTATTTTATATTAAAACGCATAGGTTTATCTTGGGAGGAAACCAAAGCAAAATTGCCGGAGGATATATTTGCCGCTTGTCATAATAGCGTGGATAGTGTGACGATTTCAGGACTACCAAAAAGCGTCAGTGAATTTGTAAAGAAATGTAAAGCAGAAGGCATTTTCGCAAAAGAAGTTAATAGTTCTGGACTTGCATTCCACTCAAAATACATTGCCGACGCTGAACCTAGACTTCGCAAGAGTTTGGAACTAGTAAGTACAATTGGTTTAATTTGAGCTTTGTACTAAGTTTGTGTCACGCTACTAAAATTATTATAATATCTCATTTAATAAAACCAAACACGTAAATATACATGAATAATTTAGTAAGTCTGAGCGACCTTGTTTCACGCCGTCCATATAGTCAATAAAATGGTGTCCAATTATCTATTACTTACTTATCTGAGAGCCCTGTAATTGATTTATATCCTTAAATTTTGGAAATCGTCAGAAAATTTAGTTTTAATTTTTATAATATTGAATTCATTCTTTGCAGTTGTATCTTAGTACTTTTACAGTTAATTTTTCTCTTAATTTTTTTTAGATAGTTGCAGAGGCGTAGTATCGTCCGTGCCAAATTAAATATTCAATAATGTCCATGATTTTAGGTCATAATAAAAAATATCAAAAATTAATAATTTTTCGAATTTTTTTTTATATAGATTTTAACCAACCCAAAACCACGTTCATCACGATGGATAAGCACGTCTATACCCGAAAATCGTTGGGATACCCCACTAGCTAAACTAAACTCTATTGATTACCATGTTAACAATGTTCTGTCACCAGTGTTATTCTATGTAAGTTATAAAAACTAAATTATTGAAAAAAGGTACTTAACGTAATTGTATTTTTCTTTTCTAATACTAATAATTAGGAAGCTCTTTCTCATGTACCGAAAGATGCTGTTTGTATTGAAATCGCACCGCATTCGTTACTTCAAGCCATTTTGAAGAGGGCTCTAGGACCAGGGTGTTTGAGCCTCGGTCTCACCAAGCGATCGACAAACCCAACAGGAAACATTTCAGTCTTGTTGTCAGCAATTGGAAAGTGGGTTTCCCGTTTTATATTTTCTTTCGAATACGTTCTTTGATTATATTATTTAATAATAGACTCTATAATGCTGGACTTCAACCAAAAATCAAAAACTTGTACCCTTCCGTGTCCTATCCCGTGGCTCGTGGAACCCCTATGATTCAATCGTTAATAGAGTGGGATCATTCAACTCAATGGGCCGTTGCTGAATTTGTTCAGAAGGTAGGTTAAATTTAATGTTTATAATAAATAAAATAATAAAAAAAAACTAATATTACAAATAATATGAATAACAGGAAGGAGGATCGGGTGAATCTGTTATCAAAGTTGATTTAAGTAAAGGAGAAGACCAATTCTTGTCCGGTCACACTATCGACGGTAGAGTACTATTCCCAGCCACTGGATATTTAGTATGTTCAAATGAATAGTATTATACTACATACTTATGGTAATATAAAAATATTTAACATTTTTATAGACTCTTGTATGGAAAACATTTGCAAAACTTCAAGGTAAAGGCATTGAAGAATTCCCAGTTGTTATCGAGAATGTTCAGTTTTTGCGTGCAACGATTATGCCCAAAGATGGTAGAGTAAATTTAATAATAATTCAGAAATAACTAAATTCATATATTAGGAGATAAATATATTAAACGAGTTAATAAAATTATTAATATTTTGTTTATCATACTAGTCTTGACTTATAGTTTTTTGAATATAATTCTCCATATGAATATGACAATTACAGTAAAAACGCTTAATAACGAAAATCTCTTTGTAACTTATATAGTTTATCAAATGATTGGTGTGATAAACAAGCTGTTAATAAATACATTCTCTGTGGCATATCAATCGCTCTTTTTAATAAAACAATTTTTTTGTTTCGCAATTCAATGTTTGTGTTTTTAAATTTTATCATTGTTATTATTCAAATATCATCGCCGTAACGTCAAACATTCAATGCATTAACACTGTATTGCTTTTATAATATTTGTCATTTCAAGTATATACATGAGTATATACTTTAATACATAAATAATTTAAATTTTGATTTTTTTTTTTTAACCATTTCCTTTTGTGAAAAATCACTACAGCGATAGCAATTTCTAGGTTCCCTCGGATTCGTTATAAATGATTTTCACTATACCAATATTTATATATTAATTTTGTATGTAATCAATTACAGTCGTTATTTTTAATTATTTCTTATTAATGAAGGAAACGTAAACTTTTTCATCAATATTTTCGAGGGAACTGGCAATTTTGAAATATGCCAAGGGGATTCTGTTGCGGTAACTGGTCGAATAGCTGTTCTTGAAGACGTAAATTTAGAACAATTAGATGCTGAATTACCTGTTATCGATTCCAACCAAACTGCCTTACATCTAAAATCTGGAGAGATTTATAAATATTTGGGTTTGCGTGGATACGATTACAAAGGGGTATTCCGCGGAGTAAAGGAATCTGATAATGAAGGTGAAACATTGAATTAAAATAAATAAATAACATATTATTCATATGTAACGATATAATTTATTTATTTAGGCAACAGTGGAAAATTGGAATGGAATGGAAATTGGATAAGCTTTATCGATACGATGCTACAGTTTTCTATTTTAGGTTTGAAAACTAAAGATTTATACTTGCCCACGCGGATGCAAAGAGTTGTTATTGATCCAGTAAAGCATTTGCAAATTGTAGAGTCTATACCGGAAAATAACCGTACGTTTTATTAATATACATATCCAGGCGGTATAATATGCGAATCAAAATCAATTTAATAGATTTGATTTATTTTAAGTTGTTCCCATAAATATGTACCGTGATATTGATGTTATTAAATCTGGCGGTATTGAACTATGTGGCATGAAAACAAGTTTGGCTCCAAGAAGACAACAAGCACAAGCGGCTCCTAAATTAGAAAAGTATAGATTTGTACCTTACATCAAGGACAAGGTAATTAATTCTAAAGGAAAACTCAGAGTATTTATCCTAATAATATTTAGTGAATTAGAGTAGTCAACTTATTGATTTTCCAAGAAGTTTTAGAAAATAATTTTATTCAAACAATAAAGAAGCCCACTGATAAAATATTTGTTGTGTTATATCCAAAGCATATTCAAAACTGTTGGGAAAAACTAAAATAAACGAGGATACAATTTTTTTAAAGAACAGCCCGATTA